TTTTGGGGAGTTTTTGGGTGTTTTTGGGGTCGCACCTCGCGGGATCTCATCAGGTACCGAACCATCCGGCCCCGCAGCACGGCCAGAGTCTGACTGTCAAAATCCGGGGAGCTCATCCCTGGGAACGACACCCGGACAGACGGACGGACAGTCAGACACACAGACACACAGACAGACAGTCAGACAGACACACAGACAGTCAGACACACAGACAGACGGACAGACAGTCAGACAGACACACAGACAGTCAGACACAGGGACAGACACCTGGACAGACAGTCAGACAGACAGACAGACAGACAAACACAGGGACAGATACAGACAGTCAGACACAGGGACAGACACCTGGACAGACACACAGACAGTCAGACAGACAGACACCCGGACAGATGGACGGACAGTCAGACACACAGACAGACAGACAGACACCCGGACAGACAGTCAGACAGACACACAGACAGACACAGGGACAGACAGACAGGACAGACAGACACAGGGACACACGGACAATCAGTCAGGACAGACAGGACAGAGGGACACAGGGACAGACGGACACAGGGACAGTGAGGGGACAAAGGGACAATGGGAGGGGACAGAGGGACACACGGACACCAGGGGCACAGACAGACACAGGGATGGACTGACAGACCCACAGACACACGGACAGACAGACAGACACCCGGACAGACAGACGGACACACACACGGACAGACAGACGGACACACACACGGACAGACACCCGGACAGACAGACGGACAGTCCCGGGCGGCCGTGCCCCACCTGTGATGGAATCCACCAGCACCTGCCAGCGCTGCAGCTCCTGCTCCAACTGGCGGATCTCGCGCTTCTGACGGCGATCAGCGACCGTCAGCTCTGCACGGACACACGGACACGGACAGACAGGGATAGACAGACAGACAGACGGACACACGGACACGGACAGACAGACAGGGATGGATACACGGACACACGGACAGACAGGGATAGACAGCAATGGATGGACAGACAGACATGGACACACGGACACGGACACACGGATAGACAGACAGACAGGGATGGATACACGGACACACAGACAGACAGCAATGGATGGACAGACAGACAGACGGACAGACAGACAGACAGGGATGGATACACGGACACACGGACACAGACAGACAGGCATGGACAGACAGACACACAGACAGCAATGGATACACGGACACACGGACACACGGACACACGGACACACGGACAGACAGACAGGGATGGATACACGGACACACGGACACGGACAGACAGGGATAGACAGACAGGGACACAGACAGAGAGCAATGGATACACGGACAGACACACAGACAGCAATGGACAGACAGGGATGGACACACAGACAGACGGACAGACAGACACACGGACACACAGACAGACAGGGATAGACAGACAGACAGGGATAGACAGACAGGGACACAGACAGACAGCAACGGATGGACACACAGACAGACGGACAGACAGACAGACAGCAATGGATGGACACACAGACAGACAGGGATGGACAGACAGGGACACAGACATGGACAGACAGACAGACACATAGACAGCAATGGATACACGGACAGACACACAGACAGGGACAGACAGACACAGAGACAGACACATGGACAGACACACGGACAGAGATGGACAGACAGCAATGGATACACGGACAGACAGCAATGGTCAGCAACGGACACACAGACACAGACAGACAAACAGGGATAGACAGACAGACAGACAGACAGACAACAATGGACACACGGACAGACAGACAGACAGACAGGGATGGTCAGTCAGGGACACACGGACACGGGGGGATGGGGGATGGGGTGTCCTGGAAGGTTCAGGGGGGTCTTGGAGGGTCCCCCAAGGTGTCCTGGGAGGGTTCTGGGGGGGGGCCTGGAAGGTTCTGGAAGGTTCTGGGGGGTCTTGGAGAATCCCTGAGAGCTCTGGGAGGGTCCAGAGGGGTCCCAGGGTGCATTTGGGGGTCCCGGGGGGGTTTTGGGGGGGTCCCGGGGGGTCCCAGGATACATTTGGGGGTCCCGGGGGGGTTTTGGGGGGGTCCCGGGGGTCTCACCGTGCTCCAGCACCTCGTCCCGCACATCCCTGCAGGGGGGAAGGGGCTGATGTCACAGAGACCCCAAAAACACGCCCAAAAAAACCCAAATTCCCCCCTAAAAAACCCCAAA